GCATTGCATATAAATTTTCTTTTAATTTTTTTAAACGTGCGTGAAATTAATAGCTCCAATATATATGTTGTAAGTAAAACGAGGATTCAGGATTTTTGTATAAAGTTCTCATTTTTAAAGGACCAATATTACCCAGAGATGGTAAATGACCTGAAATGACTTTATGACTCAAGTGAATAATAACCAGTCATTGGTCATTTAAAAATATGAAATGACTTGTAGGGTCATTTAAAAATATATACCATATTTGCACATAATAACGCATAGGGAGTAATTTCGAATTTCGGCCTAAATTAAGTTTAATTTGGGCCATTACTTGAAATAACACCCCAGCACGCTATTATGCACAAATACAGTAATAGATACAAACAACAAAAATCCTTTAATAATGTGCAGTGCTTTTAAAATGCAAAATGTCTGCAACCGGGTATTTTTTAATCTATATAATTTGTTTTATGTTCCGAGTTTTTAATCTGCGCGATATGATAGTATCATTGGGGTATTTGTGCCAGGGATATGTAAAAATTTTTAAATTTTTACGTGTATCTGATTTGGACTGGTGGTTATTAACTCTAAATTTTGTTATATATATATATTTAATTTTTTATTTATAAATTAACATTAACTACAAGACCACACTAGCATATTCGTGCATATTTATTTATTTATTCATGCCTAATTCAGGAATTATATAAGTATTTATATTTCAAATACTATTTATTTATTTGTGCCGATCAAACTTTAATGAATCATTAAAATTCTTAAAATGCGAATGAAATGGGTGCTTCTAAAGAATCATTGAATAAATCCAATAAATTCTATTTTGCCAACAGATCATCCGCTAGATGAGTAATACGTCCACCTAATTCAAATTCAAGTGCTTCATTACTTGAAGATTTATTCTGATCGAAATTATCTTCATCATCTACAGTATTAGTCCAATTTTTCACCATATTTAACCAACTCTCTTCGCTAAAAATGTCAGGATCATCGTTTATATCTTCAGCCGTAACCTCTGTCGTTTGAGAGATTTCACTTAACTGTGAATTTTTAGAAACAAACAAATCATTATCCTCATTGTCGCTTGTTAATTCTTCTTGTGTAGTGCCTTGTGTAGTGCCTTGGTTATCAGAATTGTAAGGTTGAATAGGAGTTGCAAGCCGGATTCTTTTATGTTTTTATTCAGCCTCTTCAGCTTCGTTACATTTTCGCTTGCTTAATATATCGCCACGCAATTGGCTCATAGCAAACACCTTGTCATGCTTAAATTAATAACCTTAACAGTATTAGCAATATAAAATTATAAACAGATTACAATAAACTAAATAATGTTTACATACCGGCATGTGATTTCGGCACTTCATATGTAAGAAACCCATCGTTGACTATAAACGTTCCACCAAAGCAGAATTGATACAAATGCCAAACAATTGCAAAGCTAGTCGAGATAATTCGGGTGCTAAACCTTTTGCAGAATCCCAAAAATCAATAATATTTCTATTGAATTGGTTATATGTTTCCTTATTGAAAGGAAATACTTCTCTTTGATATAACAAGAATTCACGCAAAATACATATTGGTACTTCACCAAACCAAGCATGATAATAGTAATTTAACCATTGACTGAAGTAAGAGTAAGAAAGACCAGGAACATTGGAAGAAAATGTTGAGAGTTGATATTTTGGATATAAGACAAATGATAGAAGGAGTAAGAGTTGTTCCTATTGGGTCCACCGTTTTTCTAATCGTGCGACCATGTGTTCAGAAAAATCTTCATCTTTACAGTCTGCAAAAGTTTTAATAAGCCATCCGAAACAATGCATAATTTCAAAAAGTCTTGTAGCATTTTTCTGAAGCTTATTTAGTATTCCACATAGTGGAAATAGTAAATTTTGAAGTTCATAGAGCTGAATCCAGAAATTAGAATCTTGTATTATAGATATGATGTCAGGTGAAAGCATTTTGGTTGCATTCGTATTTTCTACAAATCTTTGCCGTGATCGTCCACTTCGAGAAATACTTGCCATCCCAATTCTTGTTGGAGAAAATTTTGTAGCCAACATCTAATAAAAAAATTAATGTAATTTATTAAACTTTACTTATACATTTTATACATTTAAAAATCTACTTACTTTAAGTGCAGATTCAGTTTTTAATACAGAATAAAAGTAAAAATAAAAACTGTTCCAACGCGTTTCGGCTGGAGTTGCAAGAGAGATCGTTTGTCCGTAACAAGATACTTGTTCATTTCGTAATAATCTGGTAAAATATGGGGAAGAATGAAAGTAGCTTACAATACGTATTGTATTTTTTGATGTTGTTTTATATATATCAGATGCCTTAAAAATGTCACCAAAAACACAGTTTATTTGGTGTGCCATGCAAGATATAAAAACCTTATTGGGAAATTCAATTCTTAGTTGTCGGCTATAAAAAAAAAAATTTTTTTAAATTTTAAATATATAAATATCTTTAGTATTTATATTTAATACTTGCCTTGCAGCTGCATATTCTCCAGCGGAATCAGATACATAGCAATTGATTTTTATATCCTTTTCTTGCGCGTTATTCATAATTTCTTTAATGAGAAGCTTCACATCTTCTGTTCTTGACCGCTGATCGCTAATATCATGTGAATTCCAAATCAAAGCTTCACCTTGAGAAGTAATCAACACAACACCGAAAAGATGCTCCTGCTTAATATTCGTCCAGCCATCAAATGTAGCAATTACCTCGATTTTATCAGCACATGCACGTTGTTGAATTTCCTCACCTAACTTTTCAGAATACCTTGGAAGAATTCTATTGCTTACTGCTTGTCGATTAGGTAATTTTAAACTTGGTGTGATAAAATGAAAAACCTCTTGTGTTTCATAATTTTCCATGAAAGTAAAAGGAAGACCATTTGATACGATCATATATAATATCAGGTTTTCAAAATGTGGTCTATCTTTTTCAGATAGTGGATGTGAAACATAACTTTGAAAATGTGTTTGTTTTTTTGATACACTGGTTTTTGAAATTGTGATAGGAATTTCATCTTTGGATGAAGAATCTAATAATTTATCAAGTAATTAATGTATAGACAATATAAATCAGTACTAAATATATTATATAATTATAACAGTATAGTTAGTTACCTTTGCGGCTCTCTTTTTTATTATTTTTTTTTTTAGTGTCTTCAGGTACTGGTCGAGCAAGGATTTCCAAAACTTCATCTTCCTTATACTCAGCTTTAAAATTATGACAGTCTCTAAGATGGCTTCGGCATAGTTTCGCTTTGTTAGAGACAAAGCAGTCTGGATTTGCAAGAGCAATAGGTAAAGTGTATTTTTGTATGCATGACAAACAAACTGCTTTTTTATTGGCTTTGGGATTATCAGGCATAGCTAAATGAAAAAATTCTCGAAAGTTGTGTTCTTTTCTACCCATCATTATTGCAAAAAAAAAAGAAAAAAAAAGTTTTAGATCAAAGAAAAAAATGTATTATACATATAAGATGTTCAACATGTCTAATTTCCAAATATGCTAAATTAATATACTGATACGATGTGTTCTTTAATTTTATACAAAATATCTCCTAGTAGATTTTGCCTATCTTGAGAAGTTACTTTATAATCATTTAAATATTTGCTGTTTACAAAAAAATCTGAATTCTATTTTATTTATTTATTTTTTATTTTTATTTTTTTATTTTTTTTATTTCTTTATTTTATTTATTTATTTTTTTTATTTTTTTATTTATTTTATTTTTTTATTTTTTTTATTTTATTTTTTTTTTCTTGATTACTGTTGAAGTAAACTGTCAATTAAGGTAACTTTCTTACAATATAAATTTATTTTACTGCCACTTTTTTCTAACCGCTAATAAAGGTACCGTATATATTTATTTTGGGGATAAAGCCAATTAGACACTAATGCTAGTCACAATTCTCTCTTTTATACTATTTTTACAATTGATGACATATTTTTTATACAATACTGCAATATTAAAAGTCTATTTTTTTTTCAAGTTTTGGCTGGTTAAAACATATGAAAATAAAATCAGTTCTAATTTAATTAAGCTTTGCAGCATAAACTCACCTGATCTAACCGATATGTATAAATACCTAGCCAATTTTGTCATATCATCCGATCGTAATATGCATAATGACCCAAATGACTTAGGTCATTTATAAATGACCTAGGTCATTTGGTCACAAGTCATTTTTAAATGACTTGAAAATTAAATGACTCAAATAACCGGTCATTTTAAGGTCATTCTAGGTCATTAGTCATTTGAGCAAATGACCCGGTCATTTACCATCCCTGACGTATTATATTTTTTTATATTAGGACTTTTTTAGGACCTACGGACTTAGGTCCTAAAATTAGGACCTGGTTTTTAAAAATTGGGTCCAAAGACCAGGTCCTAAAGTTCTGGACCTAAGGACTTTGCCAACCCTAATTAACTGTTAAGGGTTTAGATCAATAGATAATAACGACAACTATTATCGAACCATTTTTCGATTTCCTGATTTACATGGATTAACCAATCAAATTGCGAAATTTTTATGAAACGAAAAAAAGCAAAAATACAAGAAACGAGTGTCTAAACCTGTCTTGAGGCACTAACAAAAATGTAGAGAGAGTAATTTTACCTATAAAACTCCTCCCTGACCTTAACCTAACCCGAACCCGAACCCTAATTTTAACTGCTCGCTTTAACACCTTCCAAATAAGGAAATTTGAAAAATGGTTCGGTAATACTAATCGATAAGAACAGAAAATCTGTCACAAAAAAGACGCCATTAACAAATAACTTGTAAAACCTGTTTTTTTTTGTTCACTAAATTTAAGGGTCATTTTTTGAAGACTCTTATAAAGATTTTCTTTATTTATTTATTTATTAGTGAATAAATCAAAATTAAACCAGTTATCAGATATTAGTAAATAGTGTTAAACTAAAAGCATAAAAATTGACACCATATACATGCGAAATATCTTTAATTGGCAATAAAATGGGAAGGCTCGGTACATTTGCATATTTTGAGTACCTCAATGGTTATACAATCTATTAACCTGTAAGGTACTCCTTAATGCTGCGATGAAAAGTACCGAATTTACTCCCATCGTTTTACCCTTCTTCCTCCTTGTTCAAGAAAAAAATAAATAAAAAAAAAATGTCCAAAGCACAAAGCTTTTTTTATACTTTCTTTTTTGCATTTGTTACCGGTTCTGTCTGGGCTCAAGATGGTAAAAAGTCATACAGAACATTTAAAAAAAAAATAAAAAAGTTGAACGCTACTTATTCATTTTCTCTCATAAGCAGCTAATAATACCATCAACAACATCGGCAACAACACCTCTAATACTCCTTCATGTTCATCTAAGCCCGACATTAGTTCTTATAACTTTGGATTTCACTTGGCAGCCCTTTTTGTGATTCTTTTTACTAGTTCTTTCGGTAAAAAAAAAAATAAAAATAAAAATAAAAAAATAAACCAATTTTGACAATCTCCTCTAAATTCATAAATGTGTATTAAAAATAGGTGCATTCACTCCTGTCCTCTCCAAGAAGTATCCTAGATTTAAAGTTCCAAGTTTAATATTTTTCGGTAAATAAAATTTTTATTTCCTTTACTACCACTAATTTATTAGATAAAATTTTTAACAATTTTATTTTCATGAATAAACAGTTGGTAAACACTTTGGGAGCGGAATAATTCTCGCCACAGCTTTTGGTATTATTAAAATTTTGTTTACTTGAATCGAAATGAATTTAAATACAATATATTTAATTTATTATTTTTATTTATTAGTACATATGCTCCCTTCGGCATTCGGGTCTTTAAATAATCCATGTCTTCCGCCGGTGTGGACAAACTACAATTCTTGGCCAGGTGCAATTGCAATGATGGCTGCATTATTCATCTTTTTTACTGAATACTTAGCGTTAAAAATAGCTGCTCGTGCTGAAGCTCGTGCTAATTCGAATAATGAAATAACCAATGATACAGCTACTGATACAACTAATGTCGTTGATGAATCCATTAACTCGTTCGGACATCTTCATCATGCCGCTGAAACTGTTTTAAGCACCCGGTCTCAAATCATAGGTATCTCTATTTTAGAATTTGGTATATGCATGCATTCGTTAATT